TCCCCCTGCTCGGCCCTGCTCTGTGAGTGACAGGGTGCCGCGCCCTAACCCCCCCATGGGCCCTGCTCTGTGTGTGACAGGGTGGAGCCGCAACCCCCCCATCGGCCCTGCCCTGAGTGTGAGAGGGGCGGCGCCCCAACCCCCTGATCAGCCCTGCTCTGTGGGTGATAGAGGGCGGCGCCCCAACCCCCCTGCCCCACGGGCCCTGCTCTGTGTGTGATGGGGTAGAGCCATAACTTCCCCATTGGCCTTGCCCTGAGTGTGACAGGGTGCGGCACCCCAACCCCCTGATCTGCTCTGCTCTGTGCGTGACAGGGGGTGGCGCCCCATCGACCCTGCCTTGAGTGTGACCGGGGGCGGTGCCCCAATCCCCCAATCGGCTCTACCCTGTGCGTGACAGGGGGTGGCATCGCAACTTCCTGATCAACCCTGCTCTGTGCATGACAGGGGGCGATGCCCCAACTCCCCAATCTCCCCTGCTCTGAGCCCGACCAGGGGCTGCACCTGGGGATTGGGCCTGCCCTCTGCCACCCGGGAGCAGGCCTAAGCCAGCAGGTCGTTATCTCCTGAGGGGTCCCAGACTGCGAGAGGGCACAGGCCGGGCTGAGGGACCTCCCCCCTCCCCCCCGAGTGCATACATTTTTGTGCACCGGGCCTCTAGCTGAATATAATACACAATTGACAAATACTTCTCAGTACCCAAAACTAAAACAATGACTCTTCATCTTCTTCCTACTCTCACATCTTTTTAATTCTTTTCCTAGTTAGAAATAACTAGAGATCACAAAATAATTCCCAATCCCAGTAAAAAAAAAACCCAAAACAATCAATACCACAGATGGAGCCAAATGTGTTCCCAAAAGAGGGTCATTTCTTACCAAGGCACATTTGAGTAAAATAGTTCTTCATGATTACAGAACACATTCAAAGGCTTTCTCTATCACGGTGGGATATCAGGGATAACTCTTTTTCACTATCCATAAAGACCACCACCTATGACATACCTGATGGAGCCACAGCACTTCTGGCAAGTTGAGGCTTCAGATCTGCTTCTAATAGAGCAGGAGAAACAGTTACCACTGGTCCTGAAAATAGGGGACCTTTTAAGGTGAGCAATTGCCCTTGTGGAGTCATCACGATGTTGGCAGAGGTGTGTGGAGTGTTAGATGGTGAGGTATTTTCTGTAAGGAAGATCAGAGATTAGTTAAGGATTAAAAATCTTCAACTAATGCAAGTATAGCCTATGAGTCTAGGACCGTGGTCAGCCAACTGTGGTTTTTGAGCCACATGCGGGTCTTTGGCCCCTTGAGCATGGCTCTCCCTAAGCCTTAGGAGTGCCCTAATTAAGTTAATAACAATGTACCTACCTTTATAGTTTAAGTTTAAAAAATTTGGCTCTCAAAAGAAATTTCAATCATTGTACTATTAATATTTGGCTCTGTTGACTAATGAGTTTGCCGACCATTGGAGATATCCCTAAAACTACACAGACTTAAAAAGCATGAAGTAAATTTCAAATTTAGTGAAGGAACTCCAACTTGGAATTTACTTTCTGAACCACTTTTCACTGAATAATGGTTACCTATCCACTAGTTCTCCTGTTTCATTTTGGTTTTTGTTGTTGTTAATCCTCACCCAAGGATATTTTTTTCATTAAGTTTTAGAAAGTGTGGAAGGGAGGGAGGGAGAGAAAGGTGGGGGGAGATAGAAACATTGACAGGAGAGACTTATCGATTGCATGTGCCCCAAACAGAGCCAGGGATTGAGCACCTGCAATCCAGGTACATGCCCTGGACCAATCTGCAACTCTTCAGTGCACGGGCCAACACTCTAACCACTGAGCCACAATGGCCAGGGCCACTAGTTCTTCTAATGCTCAGAATTTGTTATTATTGAGGAACAGAGTTATGGAACCACTTTTTGATGGAAAGCTTCTGATAGTCTTGATGATGAATCTGGATGAAGACATACAATTCTAATCCTAGGCTTGCTTGCTTTCCTACATACCTCTAACAACTTATTTCAAATTTCTAGACCTCAGTTTTTCTATTGGTGAAATGAGTTGACTGGATTAAATGATCATTAAAATCCTTTCTTAGCAATAACATGATTTGATTCTGCAATGTTAAAACTAACTTATACTTCAGTATTTATCAGTACTCTTAGTTGATTTTAAAAACCAAATATCCTGGCCCTAGCCGGTTTAGCTCAGTGGATAGAGCGTCGGCCTATGGTCTGAAGATTGCGGTCAAGGGCACCTGCCGGGGTTGCAGGCTCGAGCTCCAGTAGGGGGCATGCAGGAGGCAGCCAATCGATGATTCTCTCTCATCATTAATGTTTCAATCTCTCTCTCCCCCTCTGAAATCAATAAAAGTATATTTAAAAACAAAAAACAAATTTCCTGGTTCATACACTAGGCGACTCAAAGAATAGAAAAGGATATACCATTCTCTAAGGATATACAAAAATAATGTAAAATTCTTATCATCTCACTTCCAAAAATCAAGGCAGGATAGAGCAATAAGTTAGAACTAATTTATAACCTGGGGAGTATCATCCTAAGTGAAATAAGTCAGTCAGAGAAAGACAAGTAGCACATGATCTCACTCATATATGGAATCTAATTAGCAAAAAAACCTGACGAACAGCGTGGATCCAGAGACATGGAAGCATGGAACATAGTGCGGAATCTTGGAGAGAAGGCGGGGGAGGGTAGGTGGGTGGGAGGTAATCAACCAAAGACCTTGTATGCATATATGCATAACCCATGGATGCAGACAGTGGGTGGAGAGGGCCTGGGGCGGGGGTGGGCTAGAGGGGGTCAATGGGAGAAAACGGGATATGTGTAATACTTTCAACAAGAAAGATTAAAAAAAACAATTTAGTTTGTTCCTTAAAGCAATTCATTTATAGGCCATCTGATTCAACAAAATTAAATTTTTAAAATCTTCTAATATATTTGACTCAGCTAGATCCAAACTTCCTCATGACTGATAAGCAGAACTGCAAGGAAAGAGTTCATGTATAAAGTCTGAAAAGATGGCAGCCTATGAAATACTCACTGAAACATATAGAGGGAAAATATATGACTGTACACTGTATTAGAAGTAGGTCTTAAATGTTATCATGACTGGTAAGTTCTTAAGATTTGGTTGAATGTAAAAGCTAGAAACTGAAATCTAATGTAGTAACTGTTCTACTTTTTATATAACCACTAGAGGCCCGGTGTGTGAATTCATGCATGGGTGGGGTCTGGCCAGCCTGCCCCAATCTGCCAATTAGGGGCAGCTGGCTGGCCAGCTGGCCCCACCCCCTGGTCAAACTCCCGGTAGAGAGGAAAATTTGTATATTAGCTTTTTATTATATAGAACATTTAATTCAGTCATTTACAACTAAATTATGGCCACAAGATTCAGTCCACTAAACTAAACTAAACTGAACTGATGATCATCTACATTAAGAAAAGCAAAGGATGGCCCTCCTACCTGTGGCCTGGTCTCTTTTTCTGGAAAGAATCAAAGGTTTCCCCTTCCTGTTATTTATAAACATCTGTCCGAGATCTACAGATGATGCAGAAGATCCTTCCTGCTGTTTGCTAGTTCTGGGAGACACATCAAACTCATCTGATCCCATCTTCTTTTTTCTTTTTTGTGCCTCTAGTGCTTGCTGTTTTGCATAAATATACTCTAGCTTCTTCAGGACCACTTCTTCTGTCTTACCTATAGGTTGACAAGGAATAAATTGTCACTCTCTATATGACCCCACATAATAATGAGAAATAGAGTCAACTGAAATCCAGTTGATTTAACTATATTCCCCAAAACTATGGAAGGCAAGAGTGATTATAAACCAAGAGAAACCGCCCCATTTAGTCAAAAGATAACTCTGGCGTTAATTATGGGAACCAAGCCTTAAAAACTAGAATATCTGAAAGAGCTATTGAGAATTTCTCTTTACTAAAACTGTTACCATACTCTTTACCAAAGATCATTTACATATCTCACCTGAAAGAGATGATACTTTCCGTATCAAAATATTTCTTTTTCGAGTCAGGAGATTTTTCTGTCCTATCAACTTGTCAGCTTGATCTGTTAGTCCCTGAATTTCGCTGAATGCCTAAAAATAGAAATAATAATATCTCAATCAAATTGCTCTTCCTACACAACTTCTTTAATAAAAAAAATTTAATCTAATACCTTAGAGAATTTTATAATGCCATTTAAAATAATCCACATATTATTTTTTCTTAAACTGCAGGCTTTCTGGCTTGTAATTCCAAGGAACATGATTATTTCCAAAAAGCATCACTGAGTGGGTAACAGATGTTTCCACAACTACAAGGTGTTACAAAACGTTCTACTCTGTTTAGATTTTAATAAATCAACTTTAAAGTCATTTCCCAGTCAAAGTAAAATCTGATTGAAATAACTTTGTTTAGAGAACTATGAATGCTTGCTTTGTACTCCCCTCCAACTTCTACTTTAAAAGCAACTTACATGAAATTGCCTTAGACAGTCGACATGCAAACTTAAAACTTTCACTAGCTTGAATATTTCAGATTTTCTTTTAAAAGGACTGTTGTTAAGAAGTATGTTAAAATATCACTTATGTTGTGCTTTTCATTGTGATAAATTGTTCTAAGTGCTATGGAGCACACCAATGTACAGAGACTATGCTAAACAGAGCTTACTAGGGTGTTTGCTTTATTTGAAGGAAGGATGGCTCTGTCGATTAAGAATCTGGCTTTTAATGAAAAGCTACTCTGACACAACAAAAAACTCTTCCCCCTGAAGGATGTATTGGACCTTCACTCGTCCATATTCAAATGTTAAATACAACTCTATTTCAACCTCCCTTGTGTGATACTTTATCTTTTATGTTTAGAAGATTCTTAGTCAAGCTCTTAATGTCTATACAGAACACTTACCCTAGTAAGAATGAGACTTTTGGAAACCTTGGAGGAGTGAAGTAATCCCAATGTGATCTTCAATTTCTCAAAGAGATCCCTCATTTCACCACGCCGGCGCCGCTCATTGGCAGTGTGCGTCCGGCGATAATAAGCAAAAGCTTCTGCTTCTTTCTGTAATTTTTCACTCCAGTATTCAGGCTTCAGTTTTATAGGAACTGGTGAAGTCTGTACAAACAAAAAATGAACACCTAAATATCTTTCACATGTACCTTGCCGCTTCCTCCATCCCAAATGGCATTGCTCTGTATCAGACACCCACCATCTTCTGCCTCAACTATCATAGCCTCTCAACATACTACTAATCTATCCTTCCTCAAAATCTAACAATGTAAATTCCTTTTTTTTAATTTAACAGTGCAAATTCTTAATCTAACATTTAAAAGTCAAACTTTGCATTTTTTCAGAAAATTTTTTCTTGACCCTCAGGATGCCTTTGTCATGCTTTCTCTCTTATTTCAATTTTTAAAAAATTATGTACTATATAGCCCGGCCAGTGTGGCTCAGTGGCTGAGCATCCACCTATGAACTACTAGGAGGTCACGGTTCAATTCCCCATCAAGGCACATGCTCTGGTTGCAGACTCAGCCCCCAGTAGGGGGCGTGCAGGAGGCAGTCAATAAATGATTCTTCTCATCATTGTTTCTCTCTCGCTCTCTCTCCCTTCCTCTCTGAAATCAATAAAAATATACTCAAAAAAATTTTTTAATTATGTATTATAGATACAAGTAATAGATGCACATAGGGTTTTTAATATAAATATTTAAAAGGTTTATTTTTTTTAAATATATTTTATTGACTTTTTACAGAGAGGAAGGGAGAGAGATAGAGAGTTAGAAACATCGATGAGAGAGAAACATCGATCAGCCACCTCCTGCACATCTCCCACTGGGGATGTGTCCGCAACCCAGGTACATGCCCTTGACTGGAATCGAAAACATCGACATCGATCAGCCTGCACATCTCCCACTGGGGATGTGTCCGCAACCCAGGTACATGCCCTTGACTGGAATCGAACCCGGGACCCTTCAGTCCGCAGGCCGACGCTCTATCCACTGAGCCAAACTGGTCTCAGCTTTAAAAGGTTTATAATGAAAAGCAACTGTGCCCTTCACCTGCACATAAACCCACAGAAACAACCACTTGATCCTTTTTTTATTATTTTTAATTGATTTCAGAGAGAAAGAGAAAGATAGATATAGAAACATCAATGATGAGAGAATCATTGATTGGCTGCCTCCTGCACGGCCGACACTGGGATCAAGCCCGCAACCCGGGCATGTGCCCTGACTGGGAATCGAACCATGACCTACTGTTTAATAGGTCAATGCTCAACCACTGAGCCACATCAGCCAGGTCATTTGATGCTTACAGATGCTTTTTCTGGCTCTTAAAACTATACCTAAACAATAAATAGTAACATAAGCATACACTTGTCAATTTTCAATGCTATCTATCCACTTCCTGTTATGTAAAAGAGAATTAGCCCTCACCACTCTCATCATTTCATCATCCCATCTTCCTAATACAAACATATCATTAATTTTAGTTCTTCTATTGATCCCTTTGCAACTTGAATACAATACTGATCTCAATCTCTTACTTCATCAGTAGACAGTATTTCTGTAAAATGAGGTTACCAGAACTTGTTATCCTTCCCCTTATTTCTTCTTTACTCTTCCATCTCCCAATTTGTCATTTGTACTTAAACATTTTTCAACACTAAAACTAAGTCTTCCACACTTTATTTGTGATAATACAGGTTTTAAAAAATCACTAACAGTGGCTACCCTATTATGACAATGTGAATACTATTTATACAAAGTAATAAATACATTTCCTGTCTTCCTATAGTTTCTTGATTTTGTTTTTCCCTCTCTGATGGGTCTAGTTGTCTTTTTTTTTTTTATCTGACACTGTCTTTATCATAACCCTGCTAGTACCGAAACTCTTATATAAAATTATTGTCTTGTTTTCCCATTGATTTTTAGAGAGAGAAAGAGAGGGAGGAAATTTTGTTGTTCCATTTATTTACACATTCATTGATTGATTCTTGTATGTGCCCTGACCAGTGATCCAACCCCAAACCTTAGCATATTGGAACAACACTCTAACCAACTAAGCTACTTAGCCAGAACTAAAATCACTTTCTTTCTAAAGTTAAACTTGTTGAGCATTAGTATAGTACGGGAGAATAAAAGATATAACAAGAGAGAATAAAATCTAATACCAAGTTTAAATATAGCAAAACATTATAAATAATTTGCATGTAATAATTAGGGCATAAAAACAATGGATTGTATAAATAAGTTATGAAAAATATTTTATCTGAAAAATGTTTTAATATGAATGAAAAAATATAGTAATATGTACAAAATTGATTACAAGCATGTAAATATGTATCATGTGATCCCCCAAATCAGATCAAACTCAAACTAACCATACCAAATGGTTTTTAAGAAAGAATCTGAATACCACCCTTCAACTCAACCCAACCTCTATCACTATCTTTATCTCTTAAATTAAGAAGACAAGCCCTAACCCATTTGGCTCAATAGATAAATTTATTTGTTCAAAATAGTTTTTCTCATCTTTGAATCTTTTTATAGTGCTATAATAGTGCTCTCTACTAAACTTGCTTTTTCATTCTTTAAAAAGTCAATTTTTGGCCCTAATCGGTTTGGCTCAGTGGATAGAGCATTGGTCTGCGGACTGAAGGGTACCAGGTTCGATTCCGGTCAAGGGCATGTACCCGGGTTACAGGCTCGATCCTCAGTAGGGGGCGTGCAGGAGGCAGCCAATCAATGATTCTCATCATTGATGTTTCT